TCTGAAATTACTAACTTTAAAATCATTGTATTTTGATAGTTTTTTTTTTTTTGAAGTTCTTCAAAGATACACTACAATCCGCAGAGACTGTCATATAAATAACAAAGCATATTCTGTTTTTGTGGTCTTTGATCACGATGTCTGAAGATTATCTTTGATTGTTCACTTTGCGTGTATTGTACAGTCCCATAAATTTATTACAGGTCTTATCTCTTTAATCGGTTCTGGGTGATGTTCCTATCAATTTCTTGCAGTTTCCTTCTTGTAAATGTTACAGATTTTCCTGCGTAGATATTCGCCCATTCTATCATGCTGAGTTCTATATTCCATTGGTGCTTACACTCTGCAGCCTGATACAAGATGATCAATTGTTTTGGGACATTTATCATAATCTGCATTTTGGGTTAACATAATCTTTCAGTATGTGTGCTTGATAATAACTAGTTAGCAAGCGTTGGTCCTGTGCAGCAAGAATAAAACTTTTGGTTTCGGCCTTTAACCCTGTACTGCGTCACCACTGATTGGTACGGGGTTTGTCTACATCAGCTTCTTTTGGTATGGGCTGAATATTGACCGTGAAGAGGTTTATTCTGCCATCGATTCTGCATTTGGTATATTGTATTTGCAATTGTTTTTTCTTTTTTTTCTGCAGTAGGTGTACTATTTGCACTTTTTCATTCATTTGCAATTTTCTTTTGAATTTGTTGGTTTCTGAAATAAAGCTTCTCTTTCATGTTTTTTGACACAAATCATCATGAAATCTGCTCTTTCCAGGTATCTTTGAAGACCGATTGTTGTAGTTCTGTAAGACAGTTCTAGTTGAACTAATCCTCTGCCTCCTTCGGATCTGGGCACATGCAGACGTTCTACATCAACCTTGAGATGATGCATGTTGTTGCAAGTGAGAAGCTTTCTCGTTTTGATATCCATTCGGTTAATATCAGATATGGTCCAATTAAAGATGTTGAAACTGTACTGCGCCACAGGGACAACCAAAGCGTTTATCGCTGATATTCTGTTTTGTGAATTAACACCAGATGCACACGTCTGCAGTTTTCTTTTCTTACTTTCAACTTTATTTGGTTATGTTGTATTCCATCTCTTTCATTGACTCCGAAGTATGTATAGGCTTCTTGTTATATGTCGATAATGGAACATTTTCCAGTAATGAGTTTACCCTTCAACTCACTGTCGTCTTTGGCAGTGAGTTTGATATCATCTATGTAAAATAGATGATTAAATACTTTCTTATTGACTTTCTATCCCTAGTTATTATTTCTTAGTTCATGTAAAAGGGGGATTAAAGACAAACAGAACAGAATGGGTGATAGGGAATCTACTTGAAAGATTCCTTGTCGGATATTCAAACAATTGGACGTAGCAGTACCTTTGGTGTGATTTACGTATAATGTGGTTTTCTATAATTTTATGCCTTATTTTAGGGAATTTATAATAACCAAGGAGACTTTGTACATTTCCAAATTTTTGGCCGAGGCTAAGAGACTCAGATACCTTACATTAAACTCGGTCTTGTGCCACATCTGACCGCGTCGGGCGGTTGGTAGATATCCTGCAGTTGTAGCTTTGTCTCCAACTGTGCTGGTCAAACTCTGCCCTCGGGCAAAGAGGTTCCCCAGACGAGGCTATGTCGAATGGCAAAGTCTCGTTTCGTCTCGGGGAAACAGTTATCCGACCTAGTTTTATACGGTGTCTATAGGGAATTTTTGGCCGAGTCTACTGGCTCGGATACCCCACATTAAATTCGGCCTTGTGGCACATCTGACCGCGTGGGGCGGTTGGTTGTTATCCTACAGTTAGAGATTCATTGTGGAATTCACTTGACTCACTTCTAGCAGTTCACTACTTCTACGCGCCGCTGGCAAATCTTATATGTATTGTTCTTGTTTTAAGTATTATCGTTCATTACCAACCTTCGTTTCATTATTCTATTCAGTAGCCTTCCCTCGGTTACAACAAATGCCTTACTGATTATACCATGAAGGCAATTGACCTCAATGTGTCAAATCTCCCTAAATAACTTTTAGTCATGATTTCTCCTTTTAGCCGATTTGGATTATTGTTTTTTACTCTCCATCTGCGTTGTTAAAAACAAAAGAATTTATTTCTCATAAGGTGCAATAGAAAGCAAGTGAAATTAAGATGAAAGAAAGACTAAGCGAAATAATAATAATAATAATAATAATAATAATAATAATAGAGTTTTTAATGGGTGAAGAAATACAAGTAAATCACAATACACCAGCTGAAGCAGCTAAATACTTAAGAAAGAAATCAAAAGTAAATGCAATGTAGAAACGATGACAAGATAAACTGCTTCACGGTCAATATCCAGCCTGTACCAAACAAGCTGAGGTAGACAAACCTCATATCCATCAGTGGCTACGTAGTACAGTTTTAAAAGCTGAAACCGAAGGTTTTATTCTTGCTGCACGGAACCAACGCTTACTAACTAGAAATTATCAAACACAACAACTGAAAATTGTGTTAGTCTAAAATGCAGATTCTGTGATGAATATCGAGAAACAATTGACCATCTTGTATCAGGTTCCGTGGTATTGGCACCCACTAAATATAGAACACGGCATGATAAATTGGGTCAATATATGCACTGGAAAATCTGCAATTTCTACGTAAAGGAAACTGCAAGAAATTGGTATGAACATCACCCAGACCCGGTTACGGTGATAGGACCTGTAACAATTTTATGGGATTTTACAATTCACACAGAAAGAACAATCAAAGCTAATCTCCCTGATATCGTGATTAGAGACCGTAAAGACAAAAAAATATGCCTCCTTATTGATATGGCAGTCTTTGCAGACTGCAATGTATATTTGAAGATCTTCAAAAAAACCTTGAAATCGAAATCCCAAAAATGTGGCGCATGAGGACATTAACAATTCCAGTTGTAGTTGGAGCACTCGGATTGATTGGAAAAGATTCCAATAGACTCACTGAAGTAAACCTTGGTAGCCCATGCCTTAAAGAAATACAAATTATTGTACTCACAAGTACAGCAAACACCTTACAAAGGGCTTTATCTATGTTTTTTAAAACTGCTCAGTGGAAAATGTCATGATTCCATTTGTGACCTCAGGTCGCTGGCCGGGACCCGGAAAGAAATGAATATACACCAGAAACTAAAGGAAATAAAATACTACTACTATTACTACTACTACTAATAATAATAATAAAGTCTCGCGCCCAGATCCTATCACTCTCACATAATCAAGTATGGAACTAACCAGAAATGCAGGATCTGCGAAAAATATGATGAAACTGTCGAGTACATTATCCCAGGATGTCCGGAACTAGCAAAAAAATAAAAAAATAAAAAAATAAAAAAATAAAAATAAAATAAAAAAATGAATATGTCCACAGGCATAACAATGTGGCGACATGTTCACTGGAAAATATGCATGAAGCACAAAATCGAGACCACTGAGAGATTGTATGACTACCAACCAAACGCAGTTATCTAAAATAACGATGTAACTATCCTCTGGGACATGTCAATTCAAACTGACAGTGTAATAAGAGCCACCAGCGATGATATTATCATAAAAGACAAAAAATTCAGGAAGTGTATGCTTATTGACAGAGCAGTACCATCTGAGAAAAACACCTGCATGAAAATTATGGAGAAATTGTCTAAATACAAGGACCTGGAGATCAAGAGTAACAGGATGTAAAGAATGAAGACTGAAACTGTACCAATCGGGCCTCGTAAGAAAAGGAATGGACAATTTTATTAACAGCGTCCCAGGTAACATCGACATAAAAGTTACGCAGAAGGTCGCCCTACTAGGAAAATCCTACATACTAAGAAAAGTGCTATCATTTACATGACAATTCTCCTACAGGGCCTAAGTGCTATAGTTTGGACCTAGCTCTACAGAATACAGACCAGGAAACATAGCATACACAGATAATAATAATAATAATAATAATAATTAATAATTGACAACGTTTTATCCCATAATATTTCAAAATGACAATGATTAACTATTGTATTTTTATGGTTTCTGTTCAGATTAAAAGAGTACTGAACGGCTATGTTGATATCAGTCTCCCCACAGATGAAGAAAAAACTAGAGGCAGAGGAAATATGGATCTACAGAAGGATGTTGAGAATTACATGGACGTAGCGAATAAGCAACGAGGAAGTTTTAAAGAAAATAATAACACACCTTCCCGGTCTTTTGAACAGGAGTAGAGGTTTATTCCCTTGTTTAAGTGGCTATCAACGAAACAAAACAAACACAAAAGTATTTGGTTTCAGAAACGGTTCCTTGGAACATAATGAGGTTTCACAGGGTATATCGATCAAGATTAGGGAAGGTCCGGTCCAGTAGCACCCTTGAGTCTGAGTGACATTATCTCCTTGCATCCAAGTGGCATTATCAACGAAACAAAACAAACACAAAAATCAGATAGACGACTTATGCTCAGAATCAGAAACAAAAAGCTGATGATTCTTAGGAACATAATGAGGAAAGAAGGTTTGGAGTACTTGACACTCACAGGGTATATCGATGGCAAGATAGATAGGGGAAGGTTGCGGTCCACCTTTAGACGGGCTTGTATAAATGGATAACGGAAAGTGGGGCAGCAGGCTTGGCAAAAGGAGAAGCACTGCTAAAAGCCACAAGAAATAGGAAGCTATAGAGAGCCATGATTGCTTATGGCATGAAGGAACATGGCACATAGAAAAAGAAGAAATTCGAGTATGATTTTGTTTCTTTTTTTTTTGACAGATTCTTCTATTTCACCAACTCTTTGACTGTCGATTTATGCCTTGAACACTGACTTTCTCTTGCCGGAAAGCTGGTATTCTTTTGGGCCCTATTACGGCACCCACTTGGTCGGACATTGATGAGATAGCAAATGAGAGAACTGTGCAAAATCCGTCCATAGCATCTGTTCTTCTGTGATCATTTTCAAAAGGACCCATGGCTATACGGTGTAAGGTCGTCAGGTCAAGGACGAATGTGACCTGTGTGTGGAAAGGAGATTGCAGCAACGCATTGAGCTGATAGTAGATCAACAGAACACATACGAGCCTGGAAGGCATCGGTCAGTAGCTGAAAAAGCTGTCGATCTAATGTGAGGTGGAGAAAAGTGATGCCGAGGAGGAGGAGGAGGAGGAGGTAGTGTCGGCTTTGCGGGCGGATGCTGGAAGCGTTCGTATCAACGATAAGAGCTAATCCAGGTAAAGGGTGTTTGGCAGGGGGGCGAGCAGATATGACAACCTTGCCCTTAACGCTCTCGGCTGTCGGAGGAACGAAACAAAATTACAGAGATAAAAATCAATGAGAGAGAAAGACAAAGAGAGTGAGAGAGAGAAAGAAGGAAAATTGAGAAAGAAGAAGAGAGAGAGAAAATGAGGAAGGCGTAAAACAGAGAGAAACAGTGCAGGAAGATAGAAAGAGAGTGAAAAAGAGATTGGTTAAAGAGATAATGCAAGGAGAGAGAGAGAGAGAGAGAGAGAGAGAGAGAGAGAGTCGTGAAAGAGATAAAAAAGACAAAAAAAAACAACAAAGACAAAAACAGGAAAAAGAGATAAAGTTTGAAACGCAAAAGAGACCTTATGCATATGCATCGTTATATATATATATATATATATATATATATATATATATATATATATATATATCACTTTAAAAGAAAAGTTATTTTTAGTGGATACTCGTATTTGAGTAGACGATCTGTTAATTTATTAAATAGCACATTTATTTATTTTCGTCTACCGGATTCGAGGAATCTTATTAAAGAAAATTTACATTCTCCGGTAAATTATTGTTTAACAAGTTTTCTCGAATATAATAATAAATAAATGAACGGACGTCTACTCAAATAGGCGTGTCCACTAAAAAGAACGTTTCAAGCAATAAAAAATATGTCGGATTAAAAAAATAAAATCCATTAATTCTTTATACATATATATATATACAAATAAAGAGAAAGAACAGACAGATTAATAATAGGTCGTTCTTAGCATTTACTTATTTTTTTTAAAAAAAGTACTCGATACAACGTAGAACAAAATATTATAGCAATATTTTTTATTATAAAATATTTTAGATCGCTACACAAAAATTTCTATGTTTCGGAACTTAAAAATTGTTCCTCATCAGGCGATGTTGGATAACTTATGATGAAAACAATTCAGTAGCTCATTTGAGAGTTAAAAAGGATGGGAAAAGCCAAGATTCCAAAATTAAAAAGACATTTTTAGGTATGTCTTGATTAACAAATAAATAATTTTCATCATAAGTTATCGAACATCGCCTGATGAGGAACAATTCTTAAGTTCCGAAACACGGAAAATTTTGTGTAGCGATGTAAAATATTTTATTTATATATATATATATATATATATATATATATATATATATATATATATATATAGCTGAACACTTTAATCAATCAGGATACTCATTAGAAAACTGCAAATATTTATTGATAGATTCTGATTTCAGTTCCACATACACACGCAGAAAAAAAGAAAAATACTGGATTTTCAAATTAAATACCTATAAACTAGGGTTAAATAAAGACTTGGGTATTTTAAATCTTTATAAATATTTCAATAGTTAAACATTATTTTAGATAGAGGTAAAAAATTAAAAAAAAAATTTAATTTTTTAATTTTTTTTTAAACAACATCTAAAATATTATTACAGTTAGATTTACGTTAAGAATATTCGAACACAGTGGCGTTCCATATCACGTGACGTCCGCATCTCGCGACGGACGCTACTTGTAAACAAACAGTTATTTCTGAAGAAAGATTGAGGTCAATCTGAAATATCAAATATATATATATATATAAATAAATACTTTCATAAAATACATTATTATTTTTTTTAATTTGCAACTTTTTCTATATATACATATTAAGAAAGTATACGTGGCTTCTCATTATGCTATATATGTATATATATATATATATATATATATATATATATATATATTGCACACACACACACACACACACATATGGAAGTGCATTTAACAAACATTTAATTCTCAGCTCCCTTATTATGATTATAAGAACGCTCGTTCACGCCTGTTTTGAAAAATCACCATCGTAATAATCACAGTTACAATAAGTCTGTTTACACTCCTGAGGATGATCTCGAAGGAGGTCGGAAGTACTTGGGTAGGAAAAAACTACATTGGCTTCCCTGATTAATTTCATCTTAACATCAAGAAACTGATTAGAGAACTAAAAAGGATTTTTATAAAATAAATAAACGTAATACGTGTATATCATTCAATGAAACATGTTTGAATGAAGATAGATATATATATATATATATATATATATATATATATATATATATATATATATATAGTGGAAAATATACATACATATGCAAAATATATATAAAAATACCCATACATGTATATTTTCAGAAAAAAATTTTCCAAGAGGAAGAATCCAGGTAGAACTCAATGTCTAGGACAGAGTAAGGATATAATAAAAAGGCTTAAACACTAATATTCCATGGTCATAATTTATTCCATTGGAATCGTAAATACGATCCAAATCATCATGGAATATTAGTGTTTAAGCCTTTTTATTATATATATATATATATATATATATATATATATATATATTGGTTGAATAATCCAGACATATTATGTTTATGTATTTTCTTTTTAAACCTCTCAAATTCACGGATCAATATCTTAATGTTGTTATTAAACTGATTAAGGAAGACGCCGTAGTTTTGATCTTTCCTTTTATTTTTCACAAGTAATTTCAAACGTGGTCGGAGGTAGAGAGTTTGACCACAACATCTCCAACTGAAGGATATCTACCAACCGCCCCATGCGGACAGATGTGGCACAAGGCAGAATTTAATGTGGGGTATCCAAGCCCTTAGTATTGGCCCAAAATTTCCCGTAGATCCCGTATAAATCAGAGTCGGGTAGCTGTTTCCCGAGACAAGATTCTGCCCTTCGACATAGCCTCGTCTGGTGATCCTCTCTGCCTGGAGGGAAAGAATTTGACCAGCACAAATGAAGACGAATCTCTAACTGCAAACCAACATACAGTATTTACTACTCTATTTATGTGAATGGGAACACACCCATTATCGTCCGTAGGTATACTACAGTAGAAACAAAGAAAAGAGCACTGAACTGTAACCATGTGGAACAATCACCTTACAGAAGAAAGATGAAACAACAAAAATGTAGTTCTACAGAAGGATGCTGAGAATACTACAGACAGAATGTGTGAGCAATGACGATGTTTTAGAGAAAATGGAAACCAAAAAGGACACTTATACTTTCCATCAGGAAGAGAGAGGGTTGAAATATCTTGGACAAATAATAAGGAAAGGGAGCTCGGAAAATTTGATATTCACAAAACAAGAGGGACAGAGGAAAACAACGTATAAACCACCCAACGTGCTTGAGTAAATGGATAGAGGAACAAGGTCTAGAAAAGCTAGTAAAAACGTACAAAGGGCGTGAAATTGTGGAGAGACATGACTGCCTACATTCTGAAGAAAAATAAGTATTGTTAATATATTGAAAACAGAAATATATTAAAATTCCTCGAAAATTAGCCCCACTGAATATCGCATTCGCCGAAAGCGCTCGGGACAATAAACGCGATGGATAATTTTTCTAGATGCTCGCGGTTATCAAGAAATAAAATTAGGAAGTACACAAGAAAAATGAATAAACTATTAACCGAGTATTTCTTGTCTCAAAACATGCGTCTGTCTGTCTGTCTATCTATCTATCTATCTTGGTCTGTGTTATGGTCTGGTTCCTTGTACCACGGTGATAGTCCAAGTTAGAACCAATAAAGAAGAACTCGAACACGGATATGGAAGAACACAGATATATTACAAACAGGAATATATACAGAGAAGTAGAAAGTGTTAGTACGAACAATCAGGTTTAGTAGTAATTGTCTGAAAGCGACTCTGTTTCGGACTGCCTCTGACTCGACTGACTCGACTGACTGATTCGTGACGGACCTCACTCCAGACTTCAGGCTGAACTCCAGACTTCAGACGGAAAGGTATTTAGTCATCCCCCATCCCCACCACGAGGGCATCATATGGCTCAAGGCCGGTTTAACGTGGGATCTCCGAGCCCGTGGGTTCGGCCAAAAATATGCCCTTTGAACCCGTATAAACGGGTTCAGGGTCGGTTTACCTCCCCGAAAGAGACTCCGCCCTTCGGCGTAGCCTCGTTCGGGTTCCTCCCCGCTCGAAGGCAGAGAGTTCAACCGATCAGCCGATCAGCCGGTCGCCCGACTTCGGACTGAACTCCCTGCTTCCTCTTGAGGCGCAGTATTTATTACGTAGGGAATAGTCCATTATGTTATTATGGGTAAGGTCCAATAACAGTCTGTTAATTATCTATCTATCTATCTATCTATCTATCTATTTAAGTCTGTGCAAAAAAAAAAAAAAAAAAAATCACTCCGGTCTCACCCGTCATATAAAAATCAGCGATCAAAGTAAACAGGTTCCCAGCTCAGGCCAGGCCCTGTACAAAACAATTTCGTTTTCCACGTCTCAAGTCACTTGTTGGCTTCAAGAATGATTGTCGTCCTTACCGGAAACGTTGATCAAACATGTCAGCGATGGTGATGGTCGTCAAATTAGTCGACGGCCATCGCGCGTAGCGGAAGATGTTGAAGGAGAGGAGAGAGAGAGAGAGAGAGAGAGAGAGAGAGAGAGAGAGACAGACAGACAGACAGACAGACAGACAGACAGACAGTGAACTGAGTTTGTGATATCGAGAAATTAAATGATGCAAAATTTAATTGAGAAAAATCGAGGAGGAGAATAAGAATAAAGGAGAATAAGAAGAAAAAAGAGAAGGAAGAGGAGGAAGTGGAGTAGGATCAGAAAAATAAGGAGGTGGAGAAGGAAAAAAAAAGAAAAGAAGAATAAGAAGAAGGAGGAGGAGGGGGAGGAGAAGTAGATGAAAAAGGAGAAGGAGAAGAATAAAAGCAATAAAGAGGAGGAGAGGAAGAAGAAGGATTTGGAGAAGCAGAAAAAAGGAGGAGGAGCAGAAGAAGTGGAAGAATAAGAAAGGGAAGAAAAAAGAAAAAGAAAAAAGAAGAAAAAAGATGATGATTAAGAAGGAGGAGGAAGAGGAGAAGTAGGAGAAAATGAAGACAACAACAACAACAGCAACAATAGGGAGGAGAGGTGAGGAAGAAGAAGGAGGAGGAGAAGTAGAAAAAACGAGAAGAAGAAGAAGAAGAACAACAACAACAACAACAGCAACAATAGGGAGGAGAGGAAGAAGAAGGAGGAGGAGAGGAATAAGAAGGAGGAGGAGAAGTAGAAAAAACGAGAAGAAGAAGAAGAAGAAGAAGAAGAAGAAGAACAACAACAACAACAGCAACAATAGGGAGGAGAGGAAGAAGAAGGAGGAGGAGAAGTAGAAAAAACGAGAAGAAGAAGAAGAAGAAGAAGAAGAAGAAGAAGAACAACAACAACAACAGCAACAACAGCAACCATAGGGAGGAGAGGAAGAAGAAGGAGGAGGAGAAGTAGAAAAAACGAGAAGAAGAAGAAGAAGAAGAAGAAGAACAACAACAACAACAACAGCAACAATAGGGGAGGAGGAAGAAGAAGGAGGAGGAGAAGTAGAAAAAAAGAAGAAGAAGAAGAAGAAGAAGAAGAAGAAGAAGAAGAAGAACAACAACAACAACAACAGCAACAATGGGGAGGAGAGGAAGAAGAAGGAGAAGGAGAAGTAGAAAAAACGAGAAGAAGAAGAAGAAGAAGAAGAAGAAGAAGAAGAACAACAACAACAACAACAACAACAGCAACAATGGGGAGGAGAGGAAGAAGAAGGAGGAGGAGAAGTAGAAAAAACGAGAAGAAGAAGAAGAAGAAGAAGAAGAAGAAGATGAAGAAGAAGAAGAAGAACAACAACAGCAACAATAGGGAGGAGAGGAAGAAGAAGGAGGAGGAGAAGTAGAAAAAACGAGAAGAAGAAGAAGAAGAAGAAGAAGAAGAAGAAGAAGAAGTGAACGCAAAGGTAAAGTCAAGGTCAGTAGTCCTCGTCTCAATGTCTGCAATGTTTTGCAGTCTTCTCAACTGTCAGCCAGAACAACGCCATATTATTCTGGACGAATATAACATAGCTGTTGGCTACCTGTTCACCGTTAGTGTCTGGGATGATTTGATTTTGATGCAGTTTATTATAAAATGTTCCTTTTTTTCTGTTGAGTCTCTTCTCTATTGACATGGATTTAGGCATTGGCACTTGTTTATCCCTTTGGGAAAGTTGAGGAAATTCATTCGTTATCACATATTGCAAATTCCTTTGGAAGTGCTTATCACAAGTCAAACTTTATAGAGTTATCGTCCTTATGATCTTTGCTTTGTTAATGAATTTGTATTTCCACCGGTTATTAATTCTTTTGCTGACCTCACCAGTAATTTTCGGCTGCCTCCTGCGTTGATATCAGATCAGACTGCATACAACCAAATATGCCTTGTTGCTTTCTTTCATTGCAATTCCTTCGGATGGAGACGATCATAGATCAATCTCATTTATTATTATTATTATTATTATTACGGATTCGGTATCTCTCGCTTTACCGACGGCAAAATGATCAAATTTCAGATCTAAATTGTTTGTCCATTGAAAATACTCCATTTATTAGAAAATATATTCAGTTTCAACACTGGAGTTATAAAATTGACTTCAAATAGTCGGCTTGTACTCTTTTACTGTTATCCAAGTGTTGTTGCCAGATCAAGTGGGAAATTAGGCTTCCTGACACAGACGTCTATTTCAATTTCGTTCAAATCGTGTGGATACACTTTTGTATATTTTAATTTAATGACAGACTTGAAAATATTTCAATAAAATTTAAAACAAAAATTTCTATTACCGAATAATTACCGGAATTTTCAATAAAATCTTGTAAGTAAAATATGATATTTAGGTTTTAAAAATCAATTTCCCCTAGGTTACACGTTGCCCAGTCCAGGCTGGTTTTAAAAAAATATTTTGTTTGTCTCCAACTTTATGATTTTCATGCTAATCATCGGGTAAGGGTTGTCCTGTCCAGTCTGGTTTAAAATCAATTTTTTGTTCACAAATTTGTGATTGCCCAGTGTAAGAGTTGTCCAGTTCAGACTGGTTTTAAAAAAATCCAATTCCAGTTTGGTTTGTTATAATTACTTACGCGCAAAGACTCTTGGGAAATGTATGAATCCACCTCATTTCCCCACAGCTATGGGTTAATTAGTGTGGCAGAGAGAGTCTGGGAAACACGCACACACACGTATATTTTTTTTAGTGAAATTGGAGTGGATTTGAACAGCGAAATTAAATCAGAGCATTTTGTTTACTGATGGGGAAACCTGATCTAGGGCAGAAGTTGTACCCATCGAATCTGGGTCATCAGAAGACAATGGAAATGGACGAAATAATTTTTATTAATTAAAATTTGTAATAGAGCTGAATAAGCAAGGAGGACCTTTAGAATTCCCATGATTTTGGTTGAAACAGCCATAACCCCGTGATAATCGCGTGCGAAATAGTAGGGCCAAGGGTCGGTTATGACCAGCCGGGTTTTTCTATATAAACGCGTAGTGATGCTGAAAAAGTGGCAGACGGAAGAGAATTAGCCCCGGCAAGAGTTGGGCTAGAGACAGTGGAGAGATGAGTTGGAAATTCAAGAAGGAGAGAAAGTGACGTCAGAGATTGGAACGAAGCGTCCGCTAACATGTACTGTTGAAATAAGTAACGCTGCTTCTGCTACCACGAATATTACTGCTACTGTTACTACTGCTAAGGAGGAACGCCGCTATAAACTTTAAGCCGCGCACAGAAATCTTATTCCCCCATCGCAAGAGTCGAATATCGTTCTGAGACGATTTAACAACAAGTTAATCATAACACACACACACACACACACACACACACACAAACACACACGCACGCACACACACACACACACACACACACTCTCTCTCTCTCTCTCTCTCTGTCCAGAATCCAGTGTATGCGTTTTTACGTCAATTACTTTTCTTTTCTGTAACACGTTTTCTTTTCTATACTATTCTTTTCTGCTATATAAAAGACATTAACAATTCAATTATTGAATAGTTGTTTGTCCGGATTTCTGCAGATATTAACTTTTTTTTTTGCTCCGTTCTAAATTTCTTAGCGCAGACTCTCCAGCCATGTCTACATTTTCAGTCGACCATGAATGAATGTACATCACTTCTGCTTTCTGGATCAAACCAAACACAACGTGGGCAGGAAGCAGGATAAACCAGTGGACCGGTCGAATGATCTACGGAGGCTCAGGGGACCTACGGCCACTCCCTTAAGTTCGGTTAGGACCGAGTAGACACCTCAACCCAGAGAGTAAGACGTCGGCGGTTGAGGGGATGGGGCGAAAGTGTTAGATTAGTATGACTTGCATCACTAAACCATTATTATATCAAAAAATTCTTAAAATCTAAAAACAATTTCTGGCTTTAAAAAAACCTGCAAAGGGTTGATAAAACGTAAAAAACGAATCAATCAATCAACAGATTTGTTGTTTTCAAAGACTTAAAGAATTTGATCTCATCAGGTTGATGAACACTCTATATTTTATTTTGGTTAATCTAATATCTTTCGCGTCCTGGGTAAGACGATAAACTACATCCGCGTCCTGGGTAAGGCGATAAACTACATCCGAGTCCTGGGTAAGGCGATAAACTACATCCGGGTCCTGGGTAAGACGATAAACTACATACGAAAGCAAGGTCTTTAATCAGGAAGTTCTGAGGAACATAGAACCACCTCTTAATTGCTGGTGTTCCCAGGTCCACCCTGACCCGGAGTGGTAGCGCGTCCTGGGTAAGACGATAAACTACATCCAACAGCAAGTTTTGTGGAGCATGAAACCACCTCTTAATTGCTGCAATAAAATTCTTGTCGGCATTAAATAACACATTGAGGTTGGTATGTCGCAAAATAAAACAAACCAAATGAAACGTCTAATAATCTTTTGCTTCCATTGACTTTTTAAAATGTATATTAATATATATTAAATACATATTCTTACCTCTATCAAAAGCGAGACCTAGATGTTAATCTAGTAGTACGCTTAAATTCACGTAGTGGGACACCAAGTAAAAAGCTCGTCAGAGGAGATACCATGAAAATATTTGTAGAAAAGACAGAGGGAAGCCACGTCACGTTGGCGAGAAAGTCGAGATGTTAGGTTAGGATTGATTACATTTCAGATCCTTCAATGGATTTTGTCAAGAATCTCGAGATGATAGCGTTCATTTCATATGATTCGCTCGCTGATAAATATGCAAATGTTAAAAGTTAATGTGCATTTGAAAAAATCATTTGGTTTGTCGTCGGTATTTGTGTTTGTTCTGGCTGACATTCGTAAATCTTGTAAGTAAATTTGTTTGGCCTTCGTAGTTTTGAATTTGTTTTAAAATCTATCGATTGGATGTAAATTAACGAGGCTAAGTTGACTTTGATCTGAACATTATACGCAAAGAGATGTTAATTTTATTTAACATTCTCTATTTATATTTTCACCGTTTGTCTAACCGATTGATGATGGCGCCAACAAATCCCTCTCTTTTATTTTATTCAGAAACGTAACTGAACCTGCTTGGAGCTAACGAACGGTATCAGTGGTCAGTGTTCAATTTATTGCAAAAAGCAAAATCTTGAAATGCTGATTTTCAAGGCAAGCAAAGGCTATCCGTTCCCCTTAGTCTTGTTTTTAGATTTGCTTGATTTTTTTAACGTTATATAAAGCTCTATGGGTCATTAAACTGCTGAAATCTAAATGCCTTGAACTACAGATAAGATGCATTGTTGGTCATTTTGATTTAAATATGTATTGTTGAGTAGTTCATTTTGTTTAGCAGCATATCAACACCTTTATAGGTCATTTACTGCTGAAATCTAAATATTTTGACCACAATTTTATACTTCAACTAAATGTATTTTTTTAATGCCTTGAACTACAGATAAAATGTATTGTTGGTCATTTTGATTTAAATATGTATTGTTGGTTGGTTTATTTTCTTTAGTGGCATATCAACACCTCTATGGGTCATTTACTGCCGAAATCTAAATATTTTGAACACAATTTTATGGCTTCAACTAAATATATTTTAAAATGCCCTGAACTACAGATAAAATGTATTTTTGGTCATTTTGACTTAAGTATGTATTGTTGGTTGGTTTATTTTGTTTAGCGGCATATCAACACCTCTATGGGTTATTTAATGCCGAAATCTAAATATTTTGAACACAATTTTATGGCTTCAACTAAATATATTTTGAACCCAATTGTATGTCTTCAACTACAGAGAAAATGTATTGTCGGCCATTTTGATTTAAGTATGTATTTTTGGTTGGTTGATTTTGTTTAGCGGCATATCAACACCTCTATGGGTTATTTAATGCCGAAATCTAAATATTTTGAACACAATTTTATGGCTTCAACTAAATATATTTTGAACCCAATTGTATGTCTTCAACTACAGAGAAAATGTATTGTCGGCCATTTTGATTTAAGTATGTATTTTTGGTTGGTTGATTTTGTTTAGCGGCATATCAACACCTGTATGGGTTAATTAATGCTGAAATCTAAATATATTTTGCACGCAGGTTCATAATTGTACTATAAAATGTATTGCTGTTCATTTTGCTTTAAAATGTATTGTTGATAATGTTTACTATTAAAAAAGTATTTCATAGTGTTTTGTTTTTGTTTGGGGGTTTACTATTTGTTGGGACCCTAACAGGTGTTACCACCTCAGGTCAGAGTGGACCTGGGGACAACAGCAATGTAGAGGTGGTTCCACGTTCCTCAAAAACTCCAATTTCCTGATCAGAGCACTTGCTGCAGCATGAAGTTTATTCTCATTCCCAGGACTATGTTCTAGATTAAAACGACTATTTGACAATTCGTTTGGAATAAATAAAAGTGTGTTTCAAAAGGTGGTGTTTGAAGACGTGATTTCCCTTCATATAAAACTGAAATTTATAACATAAAAGCTGTCATTTTAGCGAGTCTCGTGTGTGGGTTGGGAATTTTAAATATTCTTAAGGCAAAAATGAAAATAGAGGAAAATGAAATACATTTATGTCATTTCATAGGCTTCCATTTCCCGGTTTAGTTAAACAGCAAAATAGATATGTGCCGTTTATGAAAATGGTGCCGTAGTTTGAGAACCCTTTTCATAAGTACGCTAGGTTGAGAAGCGGAAATTTTGATCTGGAAGACCGACAACGTTCCAGTAGATCAGCAGTGGATGGTAGTGTCACTGGTTAAAAATAATTCCACTGCACGGGACATCGCAGACATATATGAACGTTGTAAGTCATTTGAAAAAAAGAAAACATCTGATCACGCTAATCGCTACGATATTTGGATGCCTCATGATTTAACTGGTGATAATGGACAGTATTTTCATTCGCGATTATCAGCTTAAACGCAAAAAACGGTACTTTTTTAAAAAAAAAGAACCGTTACAGGCTATGAAAAGTGGATTGTTTAGAACAATGTAGAGCGAAATAAATACTAGTGTAAACGAAATGAATAATTGTTAACCCCCACGAAAATCTGGTCTGTATTTGAAGAAGGGGATATTTTGTATCTTATAGAATTGGAAGGGCGTGGCATATTAAGAGCTTTAAAATTAGGCGTTGAATTCAGATTGTAGTGTTTCGAAATGAACCAATTAATGTCAGCATTCGATGAAAGGCGTCCAGAAATAGCCAATCGGAAAGGAAGCGTCTTCCGTCAGGTTAGACATTACATCTCTATGCAAACCCAGCAGAAATCGATATAGTCACCAATAATTGTACATGGATTTCTAACTTCTTTATTTTTAGAATATGCAAATAGCGTATCTAGACGTGGAAAATGAAATTGACGGCTCGAGTTCAAATTCCAGGCTAGAGTGATGCTCCCAGCTTCGCACAAATGCTCTTAGGAAAGGTATGAATCTTTCTTTAATTCCACCAGGCATTTCAGAGATGGCGAACCATTGATTCGCGGTTCATGAATTGATCCATCATCAACTTTTTCGTAAATCACAGGAAGTCAGTGAAATGGCGTCATGAAATATGGCTTGCCATGAACTATGTAAAATCAAAACCCAAGAATCACTTTGTTATGAATATGCTGCATCCATTAAGCTGAAGACAACAAAGCCGGAACATCGAATTAAAATAACTAACATACAGCAACATGTTTCTCATAAAAAAATTATCTTTAATTATACGAGTAACTCATTTATGTCTATGAAAATATTAAAGATACCCCAAAATGGCTGCCCGGCAACTATAAATATTCACCAACTCTCTTCATAACGTCGGATTTGTATCTGATGTTTACGTGTACACACAAATAACTGCTGACTCAGACACAGTGTTGATTATCCGTAGCCCTTATTGATTTTCAAGGGTCTCCTAGACATTCCTGATGTCTTACCATTTAGAATGTTATTTTTTGGCAACTAAAGACACGATCTTGTCAGTGGCTTAAAGCTCTTATTTTAAATACGAAGTACCTCGCGATATATAAGAAGTTGATTTTGTTTTTTTTAATGGACCCATTTAAGGGCAAATAGTGAATCCCAAACAAAAACAAAACACCACAAAAGTATAAAAATACATTTTTATATAAAATTATTACGAACAATACCTATTTATAGTACAAATTACCAACAATACCGTATTTATCTGTTGTTGAAGGCATAGAATTGCAACCAAAATATTTAGATTTCGGCATTAGATAATCTATAGAGATTGATATTGTTGTTTTCATTTATGAATATACAAAATCAATCCACAGGAATCACCTTGATCTGGATGTAATTGCTGTATTTGAGCCCTGACCACCGCTTTACCGGTGGTATAGAAAATGACATTGCCCAGTCACCGGTTGAACAGTGGTAGAGAAAAATGACTTAATGCCTAGCCACCGGTTGAACGGTGGTAGAGAAAAATGACTTAATACCCAGCCACCGGTTGAACAGTGATAGAGAAAAATGACGTAATGTCCAGCCACCGGTTGAACAGTGGTAGAGAAAAATGTCGTAACGCCCAACCACCGGTTGAACGGTGGTAGAGAAAAATGACAATGTCCACACATTGGTTGAACAGTAGTAGAGAAAAATGACTTATTGCCCAGCCACCGGTTAAACAGTGGTAGAGAAAATTGAGTTATTGCCCAGCCACCGGTTGAACGGTGGTAGAGAAAAATGCCTTAATGTCCAGCCACCGGTTGAACAATGGTAGAGAAAAATGACTTAATACCCAGCCACCGGCTGAACGGTGGTAGAGAAAAATGACGTAACGTCCAATCACCGGTTGAACAGTGGTAGAGAAAAATGACCTAACGTCCAATCACCGGTTGAACGGTGGGTAAACTATTGTAACTATTTTTATATCTACCGTGAAACATTACATACCAATTATTTGTGAATTTTGACTCAGGAGCTCAGGCAGAAGGCTTCAAATTGTTCACGAATGCGGGGCTCAAAAGTTTAAGCTGAAGACAGCAAAGTACGAACCTCGTCTTAAAACATTAGCACCTAAGATACAGCAAAACAAGTTTTTTTCTTTAAAAAATGTCCGTAATAATATGTCCGCCATTTATGTTTATAAAAATTTTAAAGTAGCAAAAATGACCTGGTAACTATAAAGGTTCGCTATCTTTGCCTAAAGATAGATAAGGTTCTCTAGTCCCGTGTGGTATCCAGTCTAGAAGAAAGAACACTGAAAACTCCAAAACATAAAGATGTCAACGAGAAACCATTATCTTTTCTAAGAACCCATGGAAATTAACGGACCATAAAGAAAAATTTAGATTTAAAAGCAAAATACTGCCTCTTTTTATGAAAAAAGAAATAAGAAAAATCGGATGATTATAAGTTTTGTGGGCTTTACTCAAATCAACCAATCAAATATGACCTACGTTAAATTTAAACTAAACAAAGAAGCAAAAATTAAAAAAAATTCTTTTTATAAATACGTAAATTGGCAGATAACGACGACCAGACATAAATGGATAGATAAATTATACAAACTTGACAATGTTATTAGCTAAGGAATAAAAATGGGGTGGAGAGGTAATTTAACAAAATGCCAAACAAAAAAATTATAGTTGATAAATAAATAGCTTCTTTAAGAAACTAGTAAATAATTTAAACCTATGGAATTATTTGGTATATTAATATGCAACTGTTAAATAAAGATTCTTCATATAAGATGTTAATAACATTGAAACCTTGAAATGGATAAATTGTGTATAATTTTTTCGACAGTTTTTTTTTTTTAATTTTTTTAAGCTTTCACAATTAAATTTCTATTTCTAACATGAACTCAGTTCATATCGGAGTTGATAAAACAGACAAGACGATTTATATTTTCGTTTTCTGAAATAAACTTATTCCCCATATGAGATGATTTTGGATTTTATTTTGTATTAATTATTTGCTCTGTAATAATGAATACAATGAGCTCTTTTTTGGGATCAGTTTTAACATTCTATACTACTAGCATCTACTTGGATTATATACGAAAGGATTTGTTATCTTTACTATATATATATATATATATATATATATATATATATATATATATATATATATATATATATATATATATATATATACAGATATGATAAGCAAATATAAATGGACATAAATCCGACAGAATGAAGAAAATATCTGGAAAAACAAAACAAAAATCCTTAAAATGCGATTATGTTGTTTTAATATGAATGAAATGTCGACGTCTGACGTCTCGATTTAATAACCTTCTTCAGGACAATATTCATTAAAAATACAATTATCATAATCAGTATAACACGACGAAAACGATGGACATAAAAACAAGTCTTATCCAAAACAAATAAATGAAAATTTTAAATGATCAGCTTTCCGTTTGAGCGTGGTCAAGTTGTCGTCAAATGGGCGACCCTTTTAAAACGTATTCTTAAAAATTTTTATAAATTTGATTCCGATGGAAAGATTTTTCATATATAGAGTTCATTAGAAAATCTTTTCTGTTCTTGTAGGAATACGCGGAGACTAGTAGATTCCTGTATCTTCGGATAAGCATGCAGTCCTCCATGTAATAAAATGAATTCAGGTTTGTATTTCTAGTGGACAGTATGATAAGCAAATATAAATGGATATAAATCCGACAGAATGAAGAAAATATCTGGAAAAACAAAACAAAAATCCTTAAAATGCGATTATGTTGTTTTAATATGATGAAATGTCGACGTCTGACGTTTCGGTTTAATAACCTGATGAATATTGTCCTGAAGAAGGTTATTAAACCGAAACGTCAGACGTCGATATTTCATTCGTATTAAAACAACATAATCGCATTTTAAGGATTTTTGTTTTGTTTTTCCAGATATTTTTTCATACACAGATATATATATATATATATATATATATATATATATATATATATATATATATATATACAGAGATAGATAGATAGATAGATAGATAGATAGATAGATAGATAGATAAACACACACTTCACGATATATATATATATATATTGATGCTTACGAATAATTTTATGGCACATTAGACTTTACCTTCTGTTTGATTAAAATCTATCTTAATTTTAAATTATGTAATTTCGGGAAAGGCAATTTAAAAAAAAAATATCGATTGAATTTCCCAATTTTGTTCCATAACCGTAAAAGAGTTTCAAATATGACTTCTCTGAAATATTCTACGTTAATATATTTTCGTTTGTCAATATTGCATTAAACTTTTCCATATATTTTCTGCGATGAAAGCTTGGCTTTTCCAGATGAAAATCGGACTTTCAGCTTCCATCTTTCAGGAAAAAACAAAACCAAAAACAAACAAAAAATCTTTCTTTTATTTATGGATTCGATCAAATCTAATTATCTGTTCGCCAACGGTCGGTAGGGTTTTGTTTTTTGTTAACATATGCAAACCCCGTTTAATTATCGACCCTGGAAAAGCGAATTTGTTGATATAACAACATCAAAATTTAGCTTAATATAAAATTAATGCGCATGCGCGAACACAAACAGAAAGCGATAGAAAAGGAGGGCGACAAGTAGAATGAAAGAGAGAAAGAAAGAGGGAAAAGAAAAGAGAGGTAAAGTGACAGCAAAAGAGACAAAGGGAGAGAGGACTAAGAAAGATGACAAATAGAGAAAGGGAGAAGTGATGATGTAGCAGGTAGAGGGAAGAGGAGTGATAATATATATCCGTTCATATCTCAGACCCATATTCACATTTATAGGTAAACGTATGTACGGACAATTCGAAAAGGACAGAATTTGCTTTTATCCAAACAACTTTCAATGCGCTCAGTCATTAAACCTTGTGTCATACTAATATTAGTAAATAACTAGCGGATGTTATAAGAAATATTTTTTAGCAGCAACGAAAATGTACTTTTGGCTTATGACATATCAGATTTTTATTAATAGCTATATTTTTTTCAAAAATCTATTGCTGCTAATATTGTTTTTTTTTTGTTTTTTTTTCAAAAACTCATTGCTGGTAATATTTTTACAAAAATGTATTGCTGGTATTAAAACCTATTTTTACACTTTCATAGTGTTTTAAACCCAGTTTGGGGTTAACTCTTTGATCATAGCAGGGGCCCTAACAGGTGCTAACACCCCGTGTCAGAGTGAACCTGGGAACACCAGCAATTAAGAGGTGGTTCCACGCTCCTCAAAACCTCCTGTTCAGAGGCCTTGCTATTGGACGTAGTTTATCGTATCTGTCTATATTTCTGAGATGAGGTATTATGTACACTATTTTCATTGTTCGGACTATTATCCTCATCTTTGTTGCCATATTTATCACAACGTTTCGGCCGTTGTACGTCCCAGCCTTCTTCAGGTGGTGGGAATGTCGAACTGAACCTTTTTATTTCTCTCGCTGGGGCAGACTTTTCTAGTTACACGTGCCATGTCTAATGGATGTCAGTTATCAGTTATCTCTTGTTAATTTCCCTCTGAAAGTTCTCCACTGACTTAACCAAGTATTGAATTCACACTTTGTGTCCTGTCACTGGATCTAACCAACGCCTGCATCCACTGTGCCATGTGTCCTCAAGAAAGGAGTCTTTCCGGTAAAGTTTCGTTTTGGAGGCGTTAAAATTAGCACGCAATTCCTTGCCCCAGCTAACAACAGACTGTAGGTGATTTTTTAGATCATCTGCCATTTTGACCTTATCTAATTGATTAGACTTACTATCTAGACAACAAAAAGTGACATCTGATATTTCGGGGATACACAATTAAAAAGCCAGCTAGGCGAATTTGACACTCACAAGAGGGACAGCGAGAAACAGCGAATAACCTAATTAAAGATGCGTGCGCAGATGAATGCATACGCAAGCAGGGAGAGTGTCGAATGGGGAAAATGTCGAAAGACAAAATGTCGAATAGATTAAATATCGAACGAAAAAAGAGTTTAATGAACAAAGTTCCGAATGGAAAAAGAGTCGAACTGACTGAGGAAAGGCCAGAAATGTGTCTACAAAAAGAATATCTTTTACTTAGCATGTAAGTATACTGCTGGTAAATAATTATTTTAAAATTTTAAACAAAACTTCCGATGAAAAAAAAAAATCTTTCTACATAATTGCTAACCTTTTTGAACAAGGATCTGCATCCAAACTTCAGTAAAGAGTCAATTTTTTTTTATTTATGAGAAATTACAATTTTTTTTTTTAAGCATTTCACCCCAAGCAAGGCGGGAAGCCACTAGGATGCAAGGGGTTACAGAAAATTTGGAGCAAGATCAGATAGGAGGGACAGAAGAAAGGATGAGGAGAAGAGTAGTGGATAGATCAAGGCAACTGGAGATACAGAGGCCAGTGAGAGAGAGAGAGAGAGAGAGAGAGTACCGGGAACACCTTCCTAAACAAGAAACAAGGTGTAAGCCTCTACTCATGTCCAAGAGAAGGGGGAGGAGTGTTGACCAGGCGGTAGGAAAGCCTACCTACTACAATTGTGGTAAAGATAAAAATATTTTTTTAATATTTATTTTATGAGGAAATTCAATTCTTTTTCAGTTCACCATTTTGTTTAATATAGTTATTTTCCAAGCATAGCTTAGATGTGGCACAAGGCCGAAAGAATGGGGCATCTAGTGAGGATCGAACTCACTTTTCAGTTGTAACTGATCTAGCGAGACAAGCTTGCCAACCATTACACCACGCCGAGGTGCCCCCATGTTGTTTAATATATTCTCCATTCGAAACTCTGATATTCTACCTATGAATGGCAGAACATGAGAAGTAGAATAACTAGACACACATTACTTCGAACTATAAGGAATAGGAAGTTGTGGAGAGCTATGATCACTCATATTCTGGAAGTATATGGCACAAAAAAGATGAAGATGAATCTCACAGATCACAAGTGAATTCGATACTTATTTCATCTGTCTGTGATTTAAGCCTTGCACCAAACTTAATTTTTTTAATCTATTTATCATATCCCTTCAGGAGTTGGGTGATGGCCATTCTCCACAGCTTCCCTGCTTCTGACGTTGTCCAAATTTAGAAAATATTGATTAAATTATAAACAATGATTTGCAAGCTATTCTTGCAAATGTTAGACGCATAACGTGTGGCTGGCCATTATTCTTTCTTTTCACGTGCCATGTCCATTCTGGACGTAGACGATCATGTCTCTCCACCTTCTCCTATCCCTTGCAGTTCTCAACAAGTTCTTTCCCTCTGCTTACTCCTCCAGACCACGTTCTGCCATCCACTTGCTCAAGCCCGCCAGGAATGTCACGCTCTACTTTGCCTTGTCTCTCTTTCCCTTTATTCGACCCGTGAGTATCAGATTCTCCAGGCCTTCTTTCCTCATTATGTGTCCCAGAAACTTCAGCTGCCTCTTCCTGATGTTAAGCGTGGGCCTTGTCTGTATCCTCTCCAAGACATCATTGTTGCTCACACGCTCGGTCTACGAAATCCTCAGCATCCTTCTGTATAACCACTTCTCTGTCGCCTTGAGTCACTTCTTCATCCTTGTAGAAATCGTCTGGCCGTAAAGAAGGATGGATGTCACGTAACAGTTCAGTATCCTTTTATTTTTCTTTAGTTATTCCAATAATGTAGCCCTGTGCCAGACTAGGCGATACTGTGTGAATATCTATACAATACAGTTGATTTATTGTGATAATAAAAATCTAATATCCTTCACAATTTACCAGTTTCGTAAATTCGATCCTCAGGTGGTGTACCATTATCATGCCCTTGTGTCAGACTAAGTAATTTTAGATTTTGCATACAGTTTTCTGATAGATTTATTAACGACAAATTCTAGTTGATACTCATGGCAGTTGATATGGAAGGCGAAACCAAGAAAGGAATTTTCCCCAAATAGAAATACGCGTGTCTTGGGTCGAGGTGAGTTGGTTTAAGATGGCGAAGGAGATTTATTGAAATTTGTTTACATTTAATTTTGTTTATTTGCAAAAGAACTTACTCGGCGTTGAACGGCATCAAAGACAAACGGAAAATCGATTCTGCAGTTAAGAGAAATGCTCGGAGAAATTCTCAACAAGAACTGACATTCCTCTCAGACGCTTTCATCTTTATCTACCCGTCTATATCTACCCGCCTATCTATCTCAGTCAGTTCATTATCTATCTATCTATCTATCTATCTATCTATCTATCTATCTATCTATCTATCTATCTATCTATCTATCTAGTTCTTTTCCGTATCTATCTATCTATCTATCTATCTATCTATCTATCTATCTATCTATCTATCTATCTATCTATCTATCTAGTTCTTTTCCGTATCTATCTATCTATCTATCTATCTATCTATCTATCTATCTATCTATCTATCTATCTATCTAGTTCTTTTCCCTATCTATCTATCTCTTTCCCCTTCCCCGTTTCCCAATTTTTACCTGCGTATTTCTACACTGTTATACGATCGATCAGTTGTGTATATATTTATTTGTATCGCTGCTGACTCTCTTTACCAGCCACGCATATATACAATCGTCTCCGTCGTGCCTATGGAATTGTGCACACGCATCAATATATTTACACCGAGAGAAGTAGAGAGAGAGAGAGGGGGGGAGGCAGGTGATAGATAGAGGGAGTGGGGAAAGGGAGACCGAGTGAAGGAGGAAGTGAGAAGGATAAGAAAAGGATGGCGATAGATAGAGTTAGGGAGAGAAAGAAAGAGGAGTGAGCGAGTGATAGAGAGAAGGAGGGAGAGAGAGAGAAGGAGGGAGAGAGATGGAGCAATGAGTGAGAGGGGGAGAGCGAGATGAGGGTGGGGGGAAGAGACGGTTAAGGAGAGAGAATTGAGAGAAAGATTAACGTGGAACAATTTTGTAATTCTATTTAGGTGAAAAAAAACCCCCCAAAAAACAAAAAAAAAAGACACCTCTGCGTAAATCGGTTGTTTACAAAATGCGAGCAACAAATCAGTTCAAACTTCAGCCATGTTGGTTCGTCGATGGAATCTCTAATGAAATTAGTGTTAGTTATCTGTCCCGCCGGCAGAGGACGCTGCTTATTGCAACCAAAATGACAGACTTCAGCGCACGACGACGCGTTCGCTCCCTAATGACATTAGTCTATCAAATTAATCGGCGACCAAAACTTCTCACCGGCCTTCACTTGTTGAATATGGCAGAAGATGGGAGAAAGGAAGAATCGTATAGAGAAGCTGAAGAGAAAAGACGCGGGTAGAAGGCGAAATGGTATGATTAAATTTTCGATAAAATCTAGATTTTGAAAGTAATGGGTTTAGCGACATCGATTTCTTTTACAGATGTACGACAAAATTCCGAGATACGAAGAACCTCATTCTCAGCCAATCTTCGAAATTTGAAACTGGATTTTCAACAATTGTAGACATTATAGTTCATAATACAGTTTCATATCGTCAAATATGTTTTCCCATAACAGTGTACACCCAACCTACATTTCTATCTATCTCATTATATATATATATATATATATATATATATATATATATATATATATATATATATATATTATATATATATGTTTCATAGCAACTTCTCTGACGAGCTTTTTTCCCTGGTGACCCGACTATATGGATTTAAGCGTGCTACTAGATTGGCAACTAGGTCCCACCCTTTTACTGTTGAAATAGCTAAATGCAACCGCCACTTTTACTCCAACATTTTTTCCTCACACCTCCCGACAGTGAAACCCCTTTCCGTTTACTTGCTTCACTGAAAACGACAACCATCAAAAAATTAAATGCAACGTCAATCACCATCTTCTATCTTCTTGAAACCCGTTCATATTTTATCGTTTCCTCCTCAGTCCCCTCTATACCCTGTCTCTTCTCACTTTGTAACTCCCAGCGTACTAGTCACATAGTCTCGATAGAACAATTACGACTGAGTAGTAAGTTCGATCCTCACTGGGTGCCTCCTCCTTTCGGCCTTGTGCCACATCTAAGATACGCTTGGACAATCGCTATATATATGTGTGTGTGTTTGTGTGTGTGAGATCGTGTGTGTGTGTTTAGGCCACATATCTATACAATGGTGCCTTCCTTGATGAATTTCCTCTTAACATCAAGAAACTGATCAGTTGTCTATATTATTCAACGAAACACACACACACACACACACACACACACACATATATATATATATATATATATATATTTACTACTTTAAAACAAAAATACTAAAGAACTTCGGATTATTTACTTACCGTGGTCTTTCCTATTTTTCTAGATACAATACGACTGAGTAATGAGTTCGATCCTCACTGGGTGCCCCATACTTTCGGCCTTGTGCGACATCTAAACTACGCTTGGAAAATCACTTTGCACACACACACACACACACACACACACACATATATATGTATGTGTGTGTGTTTCGTTGAATAATATAGACAGCTGATCAGTTTCTTGATGTTAAGAGGAAATTCATCAAGGAAGGCACCATTGTATCTTCCTACCGAAATATTTTCGATCTTCTCCAAGATTATCTATCTATCTATCTATCTATCTATCTATCTATCTATCTATCTATCTATCTATCTAAGATCAACCTCTGGGGTGGGGGGAATTACAAAGACAAACTTATTGTAACTGTGATAAAATCTGAATTTCGTTGTGATGGTGAGTTTAAAAAAGTATATAGGTAGGAAAAAAAAAACTACATCGCCTTTCTTGATGAATTTCATGTTAACATTAAAAAATCTGATTAGAGAACTGGGAAGAATTAGTATAAAAATCAACAGACATATGTCCATATTATTCAATTAAACATATTTCAATGAAGATATGTGGCCTAAACACACACACACACATACACACAATCTCACACAAACAAACACACACACACACATATATAGCGATTGTCCAAGCGTATCTTAGATGTGGCACAAGGCCGAAAGGAGGAGGCACCCAGTGAGGATCGAACTTACTACTCAGTCGTAATTGTTCTATCGAGACTATGTGACTAGTACGCTGGGAGTTACAAAGTGAGAAGAGACAGGGTATAGAGGGGACTGAGGAGGAAACGATAAAATATGAACGGGTTTCAAGAAGATAGAAGATGGTGATTGACGTTGCATTTAATTTTTTGATGGTTGTCGTTTTTAGTGAAGCAAGTAAACGGAAATGGGTTTAACTGTCGGGGAGTGTGAGAAAAAAATGTTGCAGTAGAAGTGGCGGTTGCATTTAGCTATTTCAACAGTAAAAGGGTGGGACCGAGTTGCCAATCTAGTAGCACGCTTAAATCCATATAGTCGGGTCACCAGGGAAAAAAAGCTCTTCAGAGAAGTTGCTATGAAAATATTTGTAGAAAAGTCAGAGGAAAGAGAAAGTAACTGAAGTCGAGATGCCAAGTCAGAATCGATTACATTGCAGATCCTCCTTTGGATTTTGTTAAGAACCTCGAGATGACTAGCAGAAGCAGCTGACCAGATATGGCAACAGTACTCAAGGTACGACGGAATGGTAGATTTTTAAATGTGTAAGTTGGACTCTGAAGAGAAAAAACCTTCTGGAACGGCACATTGACCCAACTTTCCTTGCATTAGATGCAGCTATTGATTCACTGTAGTCAGTTGAAAACGAAGGTCAAGAAGCCGCAGTGTGTTGCTCTTCAGGAGTCAAGCATCAACCATACTGATGGAGAGCCATGATCGTTCACGTCCTGAAGGGACACGGCACATTGAAGAAGAAGAAGAAGAAGAAGAAGAAACGATAATTTGCATCAATATAGAATTCAAGAATTCCGTCAAAGAGTGGAATGACGTCTTCTTTGACCTCCTTCCAGAGAACTTCTCAAAGAATTGGAAAGGCAGCTGTCGATGGAAAAATATCACCCGGAATAAGTGGAGTATTCCAAAAACATAACACGCAATCTTTGTGGCCAACTTACGGCCATATCACATTGAACAAGCACCGATTATTGTACGATCACCGAAGTTAGCAATGTCGAGCCTGGTCAGTACCTAGATGGGTGACCGCTTAGCAACACCGGGTAATGTAAACTTAGATGTGCGGTTAATATGGCTTACGACAACATCACTTTGAAACACCGGTTCTCGTAAGATCACCGAAGTTAAGCAATGCCGAAACTGGTCATTATGTAGATGAGTAACCGCTTGGAAATACCAGGTGATGTAAGATCAGATGTGAAAGTAGTATGACTTATGGCCATATCGCGTTGAAAGATCGGTTTCCGTACCATCACCGAAGTTAAGCAACGCCGAGCTTGGTCAGTACCTAGATGGGTGATCGCTTGGGAATACCAGGCGATGTAAGCTTAGATGTGCGGGTAATATGGCTTACGGCCACATCACATTGTGACACCGATTGTTGTACGATCGCCGATGTTAAGCAACGTCGTGCCTGGTCAGAACCTAGATGGGTGACCGCTTGAGAATACCCGGGTTGGTATATTTGCGGGCTGTGCAATGGATATCGGGTTGTCATCTGGAAATCCGTGAACCGAGCTCCCGTTTCATTTGGGGCCCGTTATAACCCCATACATGCCAATACCCTTGGCAACGGTCCGAATCCACCTCTTATGCTCCCTCCAGCTATGGGTGAATTAGTAGGACTTGTATTAGTAAAACATTATTATATAATATTTTCTGGCTTTAAATAACCTGCAAAAGGTTCATAAGTCCTAAAAACAAAGAAATAAATCAAAAGCAGGCTTGACAGAATACGCGGTATTTTGCGCAACGGGGCTGGCTAATAGTCAACAGTGTACGCATTTTCTCACACATGTCTGTATATGTATATGCACACACATACTTTTGTGTATTCATGCATCGCCATGTGCGTGTACGTGTAATACTTACATGTGATTGTGAATGTATTTATTCGGATGGACCAAGACGTCTTTCTGTCCCTAAACCCAGATGATCAGTTGATATGCCAATCAATCACAATCATCGATCAGCTTTGATCTTTTACAAAATATTGGAATATATTGATCCAGATTCTCTTCAATTGATCTACAGATGCAAATAAATCTGTTATTGCAGGAGATCGATAATCGATGACTGAAAAAAGCAATTAGTTCAATTCATCCGAATTTTCCAAAATTCTAATGGCAATGCTCACGAAAAAAGAGAGACGATTTTCTCATTCGTTACAAAAAAAAAGAGTCAATTTGATTCACAAATATCGTGTTTGTTATTATCGTCTGTTACTGATTGAATTGTGGTATAAACTCGAATATAAGTCGACACACCACCACCACTACAACTACAGCTAACGACAAATTTAATTTTTTTCTAACTTCATTTTTTTCTAATTCCGCCCCACCTAAATGCTAGTAATTTTCAAACTACGTTTTAAGAAATCATCCGGAATTTTCTTTGCAACATTTGTAGAATACTGTTGACATGGGAAAAAGTAGCTGGTTTTCACTGATGTCGAAATAGATGGTGTGAATCAAATTATCCACCTAATGAAGGATAGGATCCAGTGTTTCCGAATAGAAACTATTACACTAGCCACATCTTGTATTCAGTGTATTCGGATACTATCTCCCTACCGTCAGGAGACAGAGACAAGGAGAAATACATGTGTGGCCATGACATGATATATCAATGGCTTATTTACACATCTTCATCTCAAATTAACTTCTGAAAATCATAGAACTGTGAAACCGGTAAAGTTACTCTAAATAAACATTTCTTAAAGACTTCAGTTGCAATTTCAATTACTTATTTCCACAGTGGATAATGGATAGTGGCTCGGATTTGAGGAGTCGGAGAGCCAAAGTTCGAATTCCAGTCGAGTTCATTACGTGGAAAGGTATCATTTCACCTCTTCTCTCCCCAGCTATGGTTAAATAACAGAACAGACTCGATACAATAGCAAATGGTCTCAAAAAAGGACAAATCTCAACTCATAATGTATATAATAGGACAAACTGGATCCTATAGCCTTGCGTGGCAACCAGTCTAGGAAAAAACAAGTCTGAATTCAAAAAACCGTATGTAGCCCTGGTAAATCCCACCCTATTTTGCTAAGTGGAGTTAACAATAGCTTTTATGACCCCCGACTCTGGCCGTATGTTTGAGCATGTGTGCCATAATCCTTGACTTCAGTTCATCTTTGATCTCACAATGAGTTTAGTTGGTCTTTCGCTTAACTGTGCCCCACACGTAATAGCCAAGGGGTTGCAGTCTGGGTAGTTAGTTGGCCAGTTGTAAGATGTGATGTGGTCGCAGAAAATTTCTGACAGCCATGTCTATATTGTCCTGTCTCTGTAAAATGGTTCAAAGTCCTCTTGTCAGACATAGGGCATCTCAGCAACCACCCTCTTGAGCCAGCGTAGCATTGCCTCCTCAAAGCACTTGATGTAGGTCTTCGTGTTGAGTCTGAGACCCTCACCAACAAATTCAGGAGTTCTTTTCTTGTCAGAACGTTCAGAGTGGGTTTTTCGAGCTGCCGGTCCTTCGTAATCATCATTAGACTCATCCAACTCTTTTCGAATCCTCTGTACTATCCTCAGATTGACACCCAAAAAACTTTGAAATGCTCGTATTGGAGCTTCCGGCGTGAATGCCAAGCAGTACAGCATGCGGTTTCCAAATTTCTGGTGGAGCAAATTGCGTTATGGCGCTCTTTTCCTTACAGACGGTTCCCAGCTGACCCTACAATACAGTGCATTCAAGAAAAAACAACAACATGCATACGTGAAATTAAAAATATAAAATGGCGACAATTTACCCATCGCACCCTGTATCTATATCTGTGTGTGTGTGCGTGCGTGCGCACACGCGCGCATGTGCGTATGTGTGTATGCTTCATAAAACTGTCTATATTTCTGACATGAGGTATTGTAGTTATTTACACTATTTACATTGTTCGGGCTTGTTGTACGTTCCGGTCTTCTTCGGATGATATACGTTGAAATTTCGAACCGAACCCTTTATTTTGTCCACTGGGGAAGATTATTCTAATTCCACGTCCCATACCTCTTCCAGATATCTCAGTTTCAGTTATTTCCCTTTAGTATCTCAACTCTCCAAGTTTGAGTTCACCTCTGTGGCCAGGGATTGAACTCAAAACACCTTGCGTCATGTCACTGGATTACTTCAACCAACGCTTTTATCCACTGTGTCATGAGAAAATGTGCGAAAATTCCGAGAACTGAACGGATTCTTTCAGACAAGCAGAACTTCTGCTAAAAAAATGGCTCAATAGATAAAGCAGAATTCTAATATTAAATAAATCAGGAAAAGTTCAAGTACCTCATTTGGTTGATCGGCTCAAGAATTTTGCATCAAAACACTCATCATAACCAAATGTTTGGTAAATCTTTATTTAGGTTGATTTGTATCTGGTTTGTCAAGCATTTGGTCCTGAACGAAGAAGGCCGAAGAAGATATGGTTTAAAAAGATGAAATCAAAAGATTTCTACTCTGAATTTATCATCGAATAATGACACTGCTTTTTAAAAAATAATTTCATCTCGGCAAAATTCCAGAAACGAAATTAATGAGATGGAGAATAAAATTGGACGACAAAGTGGAAAGATAAAAACAATTTTGTTCTGGTCAGCATTTTCCCCTTAAGATATTTCCCTTGTTTCTACATATTGACATACATTTTTGCATCGTCAAACTAACACACACACACACACACACACACACACACACACACACACACACACATATATATATATATGTGTGTGTGTGTGTGTGTGTGTGTGTGTGCATATATATATAGATATGTGTCTGTGTATATATGTGTGTATAGACATGTGTATATATGTGTGTATATATGTGTGTATATATATGTGTGTGTATGTGTAAATATATGTGTGGATACATATATATATGTGTGTATATATATGTGTATGTATATTTGTGTATATATATGTATATATATACACAAATACAAACACACATACACACACACGCACACATATACACACACACACACATAGTACATTTTATAGAACAGGTTCGGAAATAACGTGGTATGTGTAATATTACTATAACTTAAAAAAAACAAAAGAACTTATCGCAATATATAACAAATTATTAAGTATCTCACGAAAGCAAATATTAATTTACGATGTTTAATGCTTAATAAGTTTTATTTTCAATTGTCTTTCTTATTTCTTTTCTCAATTCGCTTACTTTTCGCTGTTCTAGTTTTGTTTAAAGTAAGGCATTTTTGAATATGACGTCTACTTGTACATTTTTTACTCCTGAGCAAAGATTTTTTCCTCCATGAATTTGATCACGTCATCAATAGCTTTCTCTGCTGAGCTTCACTTTCATCATTATTAGAAGAATTTGATTCTTCCTTTATTTCTTGACAATCCAAATCCTTTTGAAGCAATTCTACAGTTGAATTATTTTGTAATTCATTAGCCTTATCGATTCTTTTAAGTCATCTAAAAGTGAGATTATTCAGTGGATTATCTTTGAAGTCATCTAAAGTGAGAGTATTCAGTGGATAATCTTCAAGCTCAAGTTTTAGTGTTTCGTTCAGATTATGCAATCCTTGTTTGTTAATTTTCAAATCCAGTTTTTCTGTAATCTCTAATTTCTGACGTCACCTGAAAGAATTTCTTTTCCTTTTTTTCTTCCAGTTCGATTTTCTTCTTCATTATGAGTTAAGAGATTTCAATTTACTAACAATTATCTGCAAAGAAGTGAAGATTATTAAAATGTACCAAATTCCTATAACATCAAAATGACAAGACTGAAAAGTTCGGATAGGAGGAATTTTGGATATGAGGACGTTCAGATATGAGGAATTCTACTGTATATGATGAAATGCAGAATAAGAAGGAAAGTTTTTTATGAATTTATTATATTTCTCTATTTATGTAGCTTCAGAAATGTTGGAATTGGAATCATACTGAGTTTAGTTTCAATTTTTAATTCTACGCAGTTTTGTTTACATAAATTTATTCCTTTGATTATATTTAGTGGCATATCAACATCTCCATAGGTTATTTAATGCCTAAATCTAAACATATGAACATAATTTTGTGTCTTTAACTCAGTGGTACCCAAACGGTGCGGTAGAAGAGGATAGCAGGTGAGGCGGAAGAGGTTAGCAGGTGAGGCGGAAGAGGATAGCAGGTGAGGCGGAAGAGGATAGCAGGTGAGGCGGAATGATTAAAAGTTTTACAAGCAGTTGCCAAAAATCATGTCAAAAATAAATGATTTCAAAATTTAAAATATTATAATCGATTACTTGTAAGTGTATGCATGAGTCCCAGTATAAATAGTTATAAATAATTATTGACGATTATATAATTGTTATATTTTTGCATT